GTCCACCGGCGATTCCACTTAAAGATCAAAGGATGCCTCGCCGTTCTTCTAAAGGCAGAGTGTACTTTATTGTCCAACGTCAGATATGGAGAAAAAGTGTTTTCCTGGATGAACTGGGTTTTGATTGTTGTTGCAGTTCAATGTGCAACATTGAACATGTGGCAAAAAACATGAGTTAAGAACATATGGTGAAGTTAGTGAGGCTGGGCATGGGGCCGAGCGGTGGCGCCAGGAGAAGGAAGCCAAGTCATGTGTGTTTCTATGAGGTTGAATAAAAGACTTACATACTATCACAAATTCTCCAGTCCAAAGAAAATGAAGCCCAAACTGGTTGATAAACTGAATCTACTAAGCATGAAAAGTGATTTTTCTGGAGCATTAGCCAGTCTGTATGGTATATTGAAAAATCAGTGGCAGCATTTTTGATTTTTGTTTTCTCTTTCATTTTTCATAAGCATACATGATGTTTTTTGGCTACGCTCAACTGGATATTAAATTTTTTTCCTCCTAAACTCAAGCCAAATTTTTCAATTTCCTGTGCTGCTAACTGGTTTATCAAAGTAGTTCCAGAAGAATCAACAGACGGTAAAAAGCGCTGAGTTTTGTAATTAGCCAAAATGAAGGAGTAGCTAGCTTTTGTGATGTGACTACTGAAGATACAGCACACTCTGTGGCTTTTCTTCTAAATAAATCCTGCATAGTATTGTTAAGAAATTCTTATTGATCTTTACTTGCTATTTCTGTCCGTCATAGGGAAGTATTTTTGGCGGCTAACTCGAGAGAAGCACCTAGTATCTCTCCGTCCTGCTCAGATTCATCGTTTCTGGAGGGGCCTTCCTCCTAATCTGGACAGTGTGGATGCTGTGTACGAGAGACCAGGGGACCACAAAATCGTGTTTTTCAAAGGTAAATATATGTAACTTTATTCGATTACTCAGTCTGTGTGTTCACAAGTTGTTTTTTTTGCTCGTTTGTTTCATTTAGTTTAGTTTGTAATTGTGTGGATACATCCTATCATATAAAAGGTTTGATTTTAACCTCTGTGTTCATCACTCAGGTTTAAAATACTGGGTTTTTAAAGACAATAATGTAGAAGAGGGTTACCCTCGTCCAATCAGCGACTTTGGCTTGCCACTGGAAGGAGTGGACGCCGTCTTTGTTTGGCTGCACAACGACAAAACCTACTTTTTTAAGGACAACCGCTACTGGCGCTACGATGACCACTTGCGACGTATGGACCTGGGCTACCCTAAAGACAGCTCACTATGGAAGGGGCTGCCTCCCCACCTGGATGATGCCATGAGGTGGTCTGATGGTGAGTAGCCATAAAAACCAATGTTTATTTGTATTACTTTTCATCAAATTGACAGAAGTTGGCTTGCTGCCTGTATAATCAGTACTTCAATAAAACAAATCACTGAATGACAAAGCAAAATATATACATATATATATCTCGCTGTTACTGTAGTGGTTAATCCACCAGTATGCACAAGGTTTAAGGCTAAATTGTTTTATAAAAAAGCGCAACATCGAACTGTTTTATATTAAGATGTCAAATTACAGTTATTGACTTGTATTCTCAAATAGAAAATCCCCCAGTCATCGCTGCAGATGGACGCCCCGCCTTCAGCCTGATTCTGCTGGAAGTTTCTTCCTGTTAAAATGGAGTTTTTCCTTCCCACTGTCGCCAAGAGCTTGCTTATTAATGTAATCTGATTGTTTCCTCAACAATCAGATTACCCCTCTTATTGTAGGTCATTTTTATTGTAGCACCTTGAGGTGACTGTTATTGTAATTTGGTGCCATATAAATTAAATTAATTTGAGTTTTCAGAGAAGTCCAGTTTGCTAAGTATAAAAACATAAATTCAGTTATCTTTAATCTAATAAGGTCTAATAAAATTCAGATTCATGCACATTTATTAAAAATAAAAAAAACAAAAATATAAGTATTAACATTTTCTTTGCCATGACACTTAAA